ATCTATCTCCTCTCGGTCTCAAGATGAACAACTAACTCCCATAAGTTCCTAAAATTCTAGTTCCCTCACAAGATTCTATCAACCTCTCGGTCTGTTTAGTCTCTTACGTTATGAATTTCCCAATTCTAGCAACCAACTATCTCCTATTGGTCTCAAGTCAATCACAAATATGCATAAATACGGGCCCTATATTCACACAATTCATATAAGCACAAGAAATCGATAAACGAAAGGTAGACCGAAATAAATAAATAAAATCACTTCATAAAATAATCTGAGTACTCGCAAATCCTAGAATCTCAAAGTGGTTTAGCTACTATACATATTCTCAAAACTCAAAATAAATAAATCAATGAGTTCAATGAAGAAGAAAAAGAGAAAAGAAAGAAGAACTATTGTCGTCGTTAGTTCCTGAATCTTCAATCTTGACTTCCTCGAATCCCTCGTGTGTTTCGTGTTTTCTCTAGGCCTTCAATGGTGTCCCCAGTCCCAAAACCGTGTTCTTCAAGTTCCTTATATACTATAGGGCAAAAATGGGTCGAGAAAGGGGATAAATCGCTAGGAATCTTATTTCCTGCTGGTCAGTCTGCGCGTCACACGACTCGTGTCACATGACACACGAGTCGTGTGACTTTCCTCGAACTTTCGGCCAACTCCCAAGCTCACACGACTGGTGACACGACCGGGTCACACAACCTGTGTCACTAAGCCACACGACCAGTGTGAAAATGCCATAGCGAAACGTTATTTTTTCTCACTCACACGACTCGTGTCACTTCCCACACGAGTCGTGTGTCCTTTTCAGCACCTGTTTTTTGTCGTTTTTCGTCCCGACTCCATTTTTTAAGCTTTTTCGGGCATATTCCTGCAAAACTAACGCCAAAAAGCACTTCTATCATAGATTAATAAATATAGCATAATGGTGCACAATTCCGACGATGAACACGGCTAAATATCACACTATATCACTCATAATGCATGAAAATATTATGAATGTTACTTGACCCCCCTTCCTACTAGGCTCTACCCTCTCTACCAACCCCTCCTTACTCCCTGAAAATCCTATGTGCACTATTGCCCTGATTCCTTAGGCTCGGGACTAATTCCTTTCTCAGAGGGAACTACCTTAGATGATAAGTTATCTGACCCCCTATAATCAAGGATGGCATTGAATTTAGGAATACTCCCTTTTTCTCCAGAAGTATCAATGAAAGAAGATCTCCCTCTAGCAAACGTTTCATTGGCCTTCATCCAATCTCCAAACTGCCCCTCCACCACACCTCTGCCTTCAAAATCCTCTTCCCTTTTCTTAAAGTTTCTTTCTAAGTGCCCAATGAAACCACAGTAGTAACACAGATTAACAAGCTTCTCGTACCTGAAGGCAACCATAACTTTCTTATCCCCCAACTTCACCGACGTACACCGGGGAATTGGTTTCTTCAGGTTTATAGATACCAGAATTTTGATAAAGCTTTCAACATCCCCACCCACTTTGCAGACAATGGCATTCTTTACTTTATTAAAAATCTGGCCAATTTTGATTCCCACATTTGTACTCATCCAATTAAGAGGCACATTAAGGACTTGCACCCATAGATTAATTTCATCAAAACAGCTGTGAGCACAGTGAAGTCCTGGGAACCACTCTTTCAGAATAAGATACTGATTTTCATACATCCAATTGTTGCCGGCACCTACCTTTTTCTTGTCATCCCGGGATAAGAAAATAAATTGAAAAAAAATTCACTGATATCCTTCACCTCCATAGAGTTCTGCATCCGCCAAATTGCCCCCATTGTCCTCTTAAGGCCCAGCAAACCAGCATGTCTGTCCCCTACGATCTTGCCAAACAAGCTTCGGCTACATTCTTCCTCACAGGATTTAATGTCTTCCTTTTTTTATTTCAACCTCTCCAGCTTCGGTAGCTGATAATGACATATGTAATAGTGTATGCATCACTCCCTCCTCCAAATTAACCCTTGCACTACTCCCCGACGATTTGTCCCCCATTAGAGGCCACACCAACACCAATCTTCCGCAAGAAACGAAAACCCCCAAACCACAACCCTAGACCCCCAACTTAGAATTGAAAAAAGCACGAAGAAACCCACCCCCACAAAACGAGCACCACAAAAAACACTCAATCTCACCAAGGATCACTCTCCTACAAAATACGATCTCACGCGAGAGATTTTTCCACTCACCCGAGAGAATTTTGGCTCTCACCCGAGAGAATTGGACTTCTAAGTTTAGGTTGGTCAAAGTGTATTTCCCAAAAAATTATAAGACTAAGTTAACTCACAATTTTATAAGTACATGAAAGTAATTTGTATGCAAATATCATATGATCTTATACACTTATATATATTTTATAAACTTATATATATACAAAAATTATATATTAAATAGTCAAGACTTACAAAAAAAATAAAAAAATATAATAAAAAAGTCAATAACAGAAAATAAATAAGTTTCATATTATTACTAAAATCGAATATTGTGTTAAATAGATGCATATATATATATATATATATATATATATATATACACTAGTACAACGTCCGTGTATTACACGGGTGCTTGCTAATTTTTTCTTAAAATCTAAAATTAATGAGAAAAAGTAGTTGAGAATTTAAATATCTTTTATATATTATATTTAGCATGACATTTTTCATTTGTGCAACTTACATGTGTTATATTATAATAATTTTTTAAACTTACAACATATAACTTCATTAAACATAAATATATCAATTGAGAAATAATTTTATTTTTCTAATGAATTTTAATAAATATTATTTTTTTATTATTATCAAGATAAATATAATTTATTTATTTCATATATACAATATGTATGTCAAATCGAAGATCATCAAAAAATATTAATTTGATATATTATATATGTAAGACCGATAAGAAATACAAAAGTTATCAACTTTTAAAATACATTTATAATTCAATTACTAATTGAAGGAAACAAATCAAAAGTCAG